CGCTCCGCGGCATGTGGGATCTTCCCGGACTGGGGCACGAACCCGTGTCCCCTGCATCAGCAGGCGGACTCTCAACCACTGCGCCACCAGGGAAGCCCACCAAGTACTTTCTGCAGGGGTCCCAGAAGCCCCTCAGAGTTCTGCATGCTGTTCTCATTGAAAGTTACAGTCTCCTAAAGTTACCACAAGAGCACTGCAGTATCAATTTCTCGGGGCCCCAAGGGGCCTGAGGAAACAGCAGTGCAGAGCAGTGACAGTCGGGACACGAGTCTAGATAAAGGAGGCCAGAGATGGTTCCTCCTCTGAACACTGCAAGACGTCCCTCTCTACTCATCCCCAAGCACCAAGAGAACCCCAAATTCCCACTCCACTCATCACAGCGTAGGATGGGGAAGCTTGGCACACTGACAAGGGAATTGCTTTTGCCAGTTAAGTTCAAAGATTGGACATTTTTACACAGCTGTTTCTAGTATTTTAGAACAAATCTGATATGTTTACCCACTGATTGAAATTTGTGATTAAATGTTTCTCACCAGAGGGTTCCTGACTTTCTCAGGATTTGGGCTCTGGCATGTTACTTTACGCCTCACTCAGTCAGCAGCCCTCCTTGCTGTTTCCCATGCTGACTAGAAAGCCTTGCCTGGGCTCCAGCACAAGCACATTTACCTCTTTTCCCCAGATTGTTATGATTATAAGAGCAATACATGAAATTTAGAAAATAAGTTAAAAACACACACACACACACACACACACACACACACACACACACACACACACAACTATAATCCCAATAGTTGCACATCTAGAGACAGGCATGGTCAATCTGTTACCATTCATTGTACGTAAGAATATATAACCATTATATGCACAAAGTTTTGAATCTTGTTTTTTAGTAACATGGCATCTATGTATTTTCTCATGTCCTTAAATAATCTTTGAAAGTCCTTCTTTTACACTCATTCCATTTCTACTTTTAATCACAAAATATACACTTGTAAAAGACTGAACAAGTGCAGAAAGATAAAGCATAAATGAAAGTTCCTATCAGTCACCATCCTGTGTGGACCCCTCCCCTGGGGATGACCGCTCTGGGCAGCTCGGACACTAGCCTTCCAGACCCCTTTCTGCGTGTGTACATCCATACATCTCACAAACGAATAAATCAATTAGATATCCATATCTTACTGCTGTTTTACGAAACAAAATCCTGCTCTGCATTCAGCTGCGTGTATGGGGAACTGCTCAGCCAGGGGAACACCACTATAATCACCATTCCCAGCCATGGCAGGGCTGTGACCACAGGTGGGCCTTTGAGTGTGGTGCTGAAATGCCAAGGCCATTGATAGCATTAATACAGCCACTGGTTAGTGACCTACTATGTGCTGTGTTAAATGCTTCACAAGCATAATCTCATTTAATCCTCTCAACAGCCCTGCTATACCCATTTTACAAATGAGGGCTCTAAGTAAGAGGCAGCACTGCAATTTTATCAACTGCACTCCTCACCAGTACAGTACCACCTCTTCATTCATTCATTTCCTCGCTTCTCTCCTCACCATTCTGCAGGTCTGTAATACTGCAGGCCTTAAGAATACCAGTGCAGACCTGTTCATTCCTCACAGAGGAGAGGAAATTTGACCCCATCACCGAGGTCGGAGTTTTCAAAACCCAGGCCTGCTCACTGGGAAGACTTGTCAGAGAGAAATAAATAAGGCACTAGGCCAATCCTGCCACTTCAGTGGATAAGCCTCAGGCAAATGCATAATGGATAATGAGTCAGCAACTCTGGCTGAGAAGCAACAAATTAACACTTTTTTTTTTGGAACTTTCACTCACATTCTTGGTAAAGCTTTGAGAGAACTGTCATCTATGAAAAGTACTTAGAAATGAAAAACGTTTCCACTGAAGGGAGAAACTTTAATTTAAAATCAGTTGTGAGAACTTAAAGTCACCAACTGTAATGGTGGCTAGAAAATGTAAATTGGTGGTGTAGTTCCTCCCAATGCCTGTTAAAGGCTCTTGGACTGAACCTCCGGTGTCAACTGCCCTGCAGGGGGACTGTTTGAAAGTGAGCCCAGGCAGCCTGAGCAACCTGCAAGTTTCCCCCAAAGGAAAAGTGCAACAAGCAGTAGCTTACATACCCTTGTCTGTGAGATTTTTTCGAATGACTAGAATAGTAAGAATATCCAGAATACGTGGATTCGGTATCCATAGCAATGGAGAGCTCGCTCTTGCTGAAGGAGCAGGTACTGTTTCTCCTTAGAGGTAGAGAATCTCACCTACTGGGCTCCTCCTCAGACCTCAAAGGGCCTGGGAATCAAGGACTTACTCTTCGGCAGGAACGAATTCTGGGAAAACAGGAAAAAAAAAAAGATATCAACCTTCAAAGCCAAACCCAAGGGGCCAAAAGATAAGTGACAGTAGCAACCTCCTCTCTGAGGTCTCTATGATGGAACAAGTGAGCAAGGGTGAGGCTCCTGAGTGCTAAATGCTCCACTCAGGCAGTAGCCAGCTTGCCCAGGTGTCTGGGAGGGGGGCAGGTGGGTGCCGGGCAAGCCTAACCCCCGCCCCGCAGCAGCGGGGGAAACCGGAGGTGGGAGAGACCTGGCCCTTGGCTATCTCCCAGACACAGCCGGCCTCCCTGGCATCCCAGCCCTAGACACCGCGCCCAGCTCCCACTGCCAGTGTGCTGGTTACAAAACAATACCCAGGGAAGCAGCTTCTAAGGGATTTGCTCAGAGTTTCCGAAACCACTGGGGGAAAAAAAAAGAAAAAGGTTCTCAGTCTCTTTAATCCAGGAATCCAAAATCCTGAGAATTTATCTCAGGGGACTAATCTCTTTTTTTAAACGAAAAACTATTATTAGCACATTGTCAAAAATAGTGAAAAGCAAGAAACACTCTCAATGCCCCCCAAAGAGAGGACTAGGTCAGGGAAACATGATTCATTCACCCAAAGAAATATCATAGAGCTGTTTAAAATGATAATTATGAAGAACAGAAATTTGTATGATATAGTGATAAACTTAAAAAGCAGGCTACATACAGCATTGCAGATAGACGCTGAAATCTACACTCCAGTTACAATCACATAAAATCACTTATGTAAGGACGAGGATGACAGAACATCAGAAAATGAAAGCAGGTGATTTATTAGCTGCAGGTTCCTGGGTCTTTTCCCACATTTTCATTAAATATTGCTATGCAATAAAAATAAATTGGAAATGTTTCTAAGTACATTCCTGAGCCCCACATGCTAAACCTTTACTTCGAGAGAAAGGAGTTCTGCACCCCTCACCCCAGAGCTGGTCTCCACCCCATAGGGCTCCTCCTTCCAGCGCTGCTGGAAGCTGACACTGCAAACAGAGCCAGTGAGATCAGTGTGAAGAAAAAACAAAGAAGCTGCAAATGCCATACCTCTACCCCCACTGGGAGGAGGCCAAGGCTCCTGAGCAATGACCTGCCAGCCTGGAGGGAATCACCCACAAACCACCACTGGCCAACACAGTCCGAGCCTCAGCACCACCTAGGTTGTGTTTGCCCTCGTCATTCATTCCCTAGGGTCTGTCACCTAGGGCTAGCTAGCCTCCCTTGTCCTGATGTCCTGACTCATTATTTCATGTCTGCTCTCCTGCATGAGCCCAAGGTGAGCAGTGGGGAGACCCGGGGTCTAGCCAGGGCTGCTCACTGTCAAGTACAACCTGGGATAAGTCACCTGCCTTCTTGAGCCTCGGTTTCCTCATTTGTCAAATGGGGATAAACCCACCAGCCATGGACTTCACAGGGTGGATCCTGGAGATATAAACTGATACAGTATTAGGAGCTGGGTTCCAATCCCAGGCTTTACTCACCTGTTAGCTATACGACCTCAGTCAAATTATTAAATCTCTCTGAACCCACATCCGTAAAAGGTGAATAACAGGGCTCATGCGAGAAACAAACAAGCTACAACTGTGACCACTCCCAGCACCGGCTCCGATACGCTGGATAAGGGGCATTTGGGGTTATCAAGACTCCCGTGACCAGTCCCCAACCTAGAGGCTCTCCTTGTCTCTCTCAGTAAGAGAAAGACACGGAAAGGAGCAAGACAGAGTGGGTGCCCATGCTCACCTTCCCACCTGAGGCTCACCTGCGGCCAGACAGCGCTGGGCTTGCATCCCAGCGCAGTCCAGGGCTTGCTAACTAGCTGTGTCCCCCTCGGAGCCTCAGGTGTCCTCATCCGTAAAATGGAAATAAGGCAGCCTATTTCGTGGGGTGACTGTAAAGAATCAAATGTGGAAAAACCCCCACTGTGGGCATTTTAAAAACATGTTAGTTTTGCTCTTGGACCTTCCCCCACTTTTCTAGAAGACTTTAAGAGCCCGGCTCATCTTTTTTTTTTTCTTGCTACTCTTCCTTCCAGCATGTTCACTAGCAATTTCAATGAGCTCTCAGCACCTCAGACTCTCACTTCCTTTCTGCTCTGGGCTGTGCTGCTTGTTCTTTTCCATACCTGGCAGACGCCAGCCTCAGGAGGTGAGCCAAGATCTCCAGACCTGCCCTGAACGAGCCTCTCCCCAAAGGCCCTTCACTCAGCTCTCTGCTGACCTGCAGGTTCCAACACCCGGCTGCCTGGCCCAGAAACCTGACTGCTGTCTTCTGCACCCAGAATTGACCATCCACAATGTCTATACTTTTTTCTGCCCTCCAACCCATTAAGTCTCGATTCTCTTTTCCATCCCAGCTTCTAGCTATTTCCGGCTAAATGCTGCTGGGGTGTCTCAGAGGCAGGTGGCCCAGGCCCCGAAGACCTGGGCTGATCCTATTCATGCTCCCCGGCCGTGACACCGTGGGGCAGACACTTACCTCTCTGAGCTTATCTCCCCCCCCCCCCCCCCCCCCCCCCCCCCCCCCCCCCCCCTTCTCTTTCTTTTTTTTTTTTTTTTGCTATTCATGCTCCCCGGCCGTGACACCGTGGGGCAGACACTTACCTCTCTGAGCTTATCTCCCCACCCTCCCACCCCCCTGACACCCCCGTAAAATGAGGCCATTTAATATGACCTCTTCCTAGGGCTGCTGTTAAGCATTAAAGGAAGCTCGCAAAATAAAGCCTCTGGCACATGCTAGTGCAAATTTCATTCCCATACTGCAAGAGGACGTCACCCTTAGTCCTCATTGAAACCTCCGGCCATCCATTAAGGCAACTCCAGGCACGTCCCTCAAAGGAAATCATGGGCTCGCAAGTGCTGTTTGGGGGAAAGCTTTGCCTCCACTCTACCAGCTGCCCTTGTCTGGTTTTTCTCTCACAATTCCTAACTATACTTATCAAAGGGGCGGTTTGCATATGCTGCCATTCCCTCCCTCTTGTCACCCCAATCCTCCATCTTTGACGCTCCATTGAAACAGCGCTAAGTTGGCCAGAGATTGCCAGGAGCCAAATCCAAAGGTCCCACCCTTGTCCTCCTTCCCCCCCAGACCTTCTTAGCGCATGCATTCATTCATCCGCCTCCACGTTTACCGGGGCTATGAGAGACCTGCTAGGCGATGCTAGGTTACAGCAATGACAATGGCACCCAGCACACGGCTGCCCTCGCGGAGCTCTGCTGTCTGTCCTCCTCCGATTTGATGGTGTTTGTGCTACTCCTCCTCCAACAGTCCTCTCCCTCTCCCCCATCAAGTTATCTTTTAAGACTCAAAACTCACCCATTATTCTCTCCATCCATGGATTTACTCTAGGATAAGCTCCATGGAGACAGGAGCTACTGTTTACCTACCCCAGGATACACTGAACATAAGAGGTACCCAACAAATACTTACTGAAAGGATAAATCCCCAATGCACATTTCCTACTCAGATGCCTCTTGCTACACTTGGGATTCCCATCACCCCCACGATGCTCTCCAGTGCCCCGGACTGTTCTTTTCAATTTCCTCCACTGGCACCATACAAACATCCTACTGACCCTATACAGCCAACCCAGCACCATTCTCACAACTCTCTCCCCCCTTCAGCCCACACATTATTCTGTCACTAAGTGCCCTCTGTCCCCTGTTATCCACCCCTCACTCTCCCAGTTCTCAGGCCACCCACTTCCTCCAGGCTCCACAGACACAGGGCAAAACTATTACAAAGCCTGCAGGTTTCCTCACAGAATCCAGTCTCTCGAGAGTTCGGGGCCCCTTCTGCGTCACACTGCCTCTATCAGAGCTATCAATTCTTGTCCAAGATCTCAGCGAGGATTAAGAAGCAGCAACCAGAGGCAGACGGACAAAATCCAGAGTGAACTCATCTCAAAAGCCAATGGAAGAGTTTCGACATAGTTAACAGAAAAACACATCCTGAAGCTTATCATTGCAGCAGTACATTTACAAGATAGTTCCCTTGTATGCACAAGAAATTAGCAGAACTCAGATAAGGTCAGAGGGAGGCCTTATCAGGAAGATAATAAAGAAAAGAAAAGGAATCAGGTTCTCTGGGTAATAAACTGATAGGCTGCTGCACTGGCTTGAATAGGATAGGGTCACATAAAGGTGTAAATGTGGATCCTGGAATCTGGAATTATCTATCTATCACACTGACCCCTGACATGACCCACACTGTGTCTGGCTCTGGCTGGGCAGCTGCCAGAGTGATCTTCCAAATCAGTGGAAGTGACGTGGACGTCACTTCCCTGCTTAAAACCCCTCCATGGTGTTCCACTGCACTTCAAATAAAACTCAAAATCCTTCACTTGGTCTGCTAGAACCTGCCCACCTCTCCAGCTGGGCTTTCCTTCTCTACCCGAGGTTCTCTAAGGAACCCGGCTCTATGCAGCCTCAGTATACCTGCTCTACTCACTCTCACCCACCTCATTTTGCCCAATTCCTACTCATCCCTCTCAGCTGAAATACAGCTTCCTTCAGGGGCCTTTCCGGTCTTCCGGCCTCACCTGGCCCTTTCCCAGCTCCCGGTGCTTCTTGATATCCCAATTTCCAATTACACAGGGACTGGCTCCTGTAGAGACAGTAAGCTCCACAAGGGCAGGGGCCTCTTTCATTACTCTCTCTCCAGCTCCTGGAGCACAACAGGCTCTCTGTAAATGTGTGCTGAATGAAGGAAGGGTTTAGGTGGCAGATCTTGGGACGTGGAGCCCATAGGTTCACAGTGGAAGAAACCTTAGAGGTTGTCTATTTTAAATCCTCACTTTTACAACCAAAGAAAAAGATGCAGAGATTACATCCCACGGTGATATCCGAACCACCAAGAGTGGAGCTGCTCGGCTGCTTGCACAAGTCTTACTCAGAGGCAAAGGTTATATGCCAGACACAGTAAGAACCGGCACCAGTCTCTGACTCCTCCTGTCCTCCTGTCATTTATCCCTTCCGGGCTGCAAGCAAACACCAGGATAGGGCTAGAGCTTGTCAAATCACATCTCATGAAGGTCAGAGGGCAGTGTTGAGACAGGTTCAAGAGCACTCTTGACTAAGTGGCAGGAACTTAAATCTGGAATTCCCCAGCAAAAATGTCAGAGAACCTCCTTCACCCCCCACCTTTATTAAAAGCAAAGTGGGGATCAGAGGCCTCGAAGAGAATCTGCCCCTAAAGTCACATTCACTCACAAAAAATATACCTGACTCCTACTTGAAAGGAAAACACAGTGTTCAGAAAATCATATGAGGGAAATAATATGTTATGGTAATGACAGTGGTAAACATAAGCTAACCTTCTCAGAAAAGGAAATTATAAAAATGTCAACAGCTGTGCCTAGAGCTATTAAGTGAACTTGGGTTGGAGGGTAGAAAGTTACCTTGCAAGGGGTACAGAGACACATGCTGAATTTAAAGAGCCATTCTACTCCTTCTGCAGTGGATATATTTCCAAGGGAAGCAACTGTGTTTACATATACTGTGCACATCACTTTGAATATTTGACTTTTATCATATATATAACTCTATATATATTACACCATTTATTATTTTTATTGTTTTCAAGCTAACATTTTTCTCAAGGTACCCATTTTCAATTACGTGGCACTCAAGGGGAAAAGGATAATTTAGATAATTTTGTTTAGTCAACGTTTCTTCTACAGGGGACAAGCAATGAGCACAGGTTTTGAAGTTAGACTGTCACTGTTCAAATCCTGGCTCTACTACTTATCATCTCTGTGTCCTCAGATTAATTACTTAACCCTTCTGTGCCTGTTTCCCTAATTATAACAACAGAATTATATTTTACTTACCTTATAGGCTCAAGGTGGGTTAAATGAGATCATTCATAATCATTCAGACTAATGCCTAGCACACGGTAAGCACCCACAACTGGTAAGCATTATTACCACTTAGTAAAGTTAAATTCCTTCCACTGGAAAGAATACCTTTGTAAGGCACATGACTTATGTATCGTTTTCATTAAACTTATGTATTTTTTTGGTCTATGTGAGTCTACCTTTAATGAATCCCATTAGCTATAGTTAACTAATTTATTGATTTCCAATCTTTTCCTTGCAGGCCTTCTTTTACCGTCCCCAGGTTAGAAATGAGTATCAGAGAAAGCTCTGTGTGTTTTATTGGGTTTATCTGGAGGACCTCAGGGTTGTAAGGGAGGATGGAAAGAAGTATTTTGCTGAACTTGTGGTCTATAAACCGTAACACATCATCCAGGCCACTGATGTGGGGATCAGAAGGACTGTGGCATTTGCAACAAACCCAGTGATTCTTTCATTACAACAGTGCTCTTATAAATGAGTGGTTCCGGGCCACTATTCACAAGAAAAGAAAATGTCAACCTCATTTTACCAATGATTTCAACTCACCTTCCCAGAATATCTCCTCTTGGTTCCAGTCATCAATTACCTCTGAAACACCCTTAACAGCTGGGTATAGATTTCCAAAAGCTGTGAATGGTTAATGTGTCTGGAGTTCTTGCGATGTATATTTGTTTTCAAGTGACCCCCGCCCCTTGTCCCCTGCCAGATTTTTACGCTTCAGAAAGGTAATTTCGAAAATACCTGTAATTTCCCTGTAAAAACCCCTGTAAATTCCATGATGCTGGGTCCAATGACTGCTGTCCAATAAAGTGGTATTCAGAAGGACACCAGTGGAGACAGACCTCAGCTGAACATACATGCACCTTTTCATCAGGCTTCAGGTGAGACCAAAGCCACTACTAGAAACATGGTCCGACCCCACGTCCACCTAATCCTGTCTTGTCCGCCTTCTGGAAAATGGCACAGCATGATGCCCATACACAGCTAGTCCCTAGCCACAGCTAGTTCACTTTATAGAGAAGGGCCATAATAATCTAATGGCTCACAGTTAATCGAGTGCTTCATATGTATTAGGAACTGTTTTAAGTCATTTACATATAATATCTCACTTAATCCTCAGAACACACCTTATATGGGAGAAAAAATATGAATTTCATGTTACAGTTAAGAAAACCAAGGTGGCATACCTGATAAGTGCTGGAGCCGGGCCTTGAACTCTGAGAATCTAATTCCAGAACCTGTGCTCTTGACTATGGAAGCTATATAACAATGTAGCAATTACCAGACTTGTTTATTTACAGGGAGGAGGGGAGGCAACCATCACAAATTGTCCCAAACCACACATAACCCACAAAGAATTCTGAAATTTCAACTCCTACTCACAGGTTCAGTGTCCCAAGCATTGTGGGGAGTCCAAAAGAAAAGAAATGAATCTGAAATAGTTCTAACTCCAAGGAGCTCACAGCCTAAAGGTCGAACCTGCCTATTAAAATACAATGTGATAAGTGCCCACTCAACCCAAATGCTGCTGAGGTCTGGGATAACAAACAGGGTGTGTGTTTGTGTCTGTTGGGGGCTGGAGGGGAGAATACCTTCCTCACTCAACATTTGTTTATTCTCCAGTGGACCAGGGTGACCTGGCATTGCTTCTTGGTCAGGAAACCTTCCTTTACCGTTTCATCCTTTTGCTCAGGTACACAAGGCAATCAAAATGTGTTGCCTGGCAAGCAGTCCTTACAAATATGCCATTCTCAAAATCCTCCCATTTTACTTACAAATTAAGTTGCAACCAAGTCACACTGCCAACACTGTAACAGTGAAAATTTCACCCTAGCTGTTTCACTAATTATATTGAGAGACACCAATGTCTGGGAATGCTAAATGCTTATGGATAGGTGAAGAGCGTTATTTCTTTGAACTGGAGAATAAACAGTTTCCTCCCACAAATCAAAGCCCCAACTATATCACATTGATTTAATTCAACTCTAAAAACTCTAATTAGTGGTTACATAAAATGACTAATTACATCTCCCTGGATTCAGACAGTTTCTGCCATCTCACTTAAAGAGCCTAGGAGCTGTGTAATCCAACAACCCACCCACTGGAAGGAGAATGCTAATTAGCATTGTTGATTGGTGACACAAGTTATAATATTTTTCCAGCAGCCCTGTAAAATTTATAAACACATCAGTGAAAATGCCAGATTCTTTACAGCTTGCTAGCTTTTGGAATAGATGTCTAAAAATACATGCATTTCCAATCACAGCCCCCCAAAAGGGGTTTAACAAAATGCACGTGCCAGCCACAAAATCATCATAATAAAGAGCTCTAACATCTCTTAACAAGCGGCTAAACGAGCTCACAACACCTTCGCGGGGTGGGCTTTATACCTGGTTTGAAGCTGTGAAAACTGAGCCACAGGTTTCTCAGCTCCAAGTCTCACTAGCTCATCTCCGGGCCGCCAGGCCGCGGCTCCGCCCCACTCCTGCCTCCGCCACCCTACGCGTTTAAATTTTGATAAAGCTTCACACTTCCCCGGACACGTTTGCTTGGGGCAGTTTAAAGCCTGCCGGAGGAAATGAGGTCCTGCCCGTGGCGAAGGCTGCCCCGGGGCGGTGAGACTGCCTCCAACCGGGACGCCTCGGGCAGAGACTAGCCGGACGCCTCCTGCTCCACCCCGGCGTTTTTGAAAGTAAACTCCTACCTGCCTGTTGCGCTCTCCGATGCGCAACCGGACTCGCCCCCCACCCGCCTCCAGGGCCAGCTCCCTTCTGTAGGCGAGGTGGGAACACAGGCCAGCTCTGTGCCGGTTTCTGGCCCAGGGTCGGGCGGGCCCCAGGGCGCGGGCTGTTCCCGGGTCGAGCCCCGCGGCGGGGTGGGAACCACGGAGCGCGCCCGTCTCCCGGGGTGCGCAGGGCGGTCCGGCCCCAGCCCCGCAGGGCCGGTGCTTCAGCGCGGGCGCCTGCAGGAACGCTCGGCCACTCCCTGCCGGCCGGGGCGCGCACCCCAAAGTGCAGCCAGGGGAGAAGCGAGCGTCCGAGGCGTGGGGAGGAAATGCCCGGACCGAGGAAGTGGGGTGCGCGGGGAGCGCGGCCCCGGGGCGGGAGGGTCGCACCTCGCGGGGATGGGAGAGGAGTGGGGTCCCAGGAAGCACGGCTCGGGCTATGGACCCCGGGAGGGAAGGAGGCTCCCGGCCAGAGGCGGGAGGAGGGCAGTGAACCGGGGTCTGAGTCCGGGGTGGGGCTGTGAGAGGAGGACTCAGGGGGTCGCGGGTCCGGGTGGGGGCGTCTCCCCGCGGGAGGTCTGCACCCCGCGCCCGCCGCCCCGCCGCGCCCGGCCT